CTTTCGTTATACCTTCCCTCTTTTATTTGTGTCCTTCTTTCCTGTCTCTGCACATCTCGGTCCCTATCTCTCAACTCCCTCCACATCTCCCTACCCACCCTTCGTCTACTATTTATCTCAGTTACCGAGTAGCCCGCTCGTCTATAATAGTTGTCTCTGTCTCCTTTCCCATATCTGATCTTTCCCTCTCTAATTTCCCTCCAACACTCCCCCAAGATCCCGCAGTTTGGCCTCCCTTCTATTCTTTCTTCATATTTCACTGCTCTCCTGCCCGCCTCCACTCTGACCTTATCCACCTTTACCTCTTCCCTCACTATATACCCCGGTGTTTCTCTCGCCACCCCAAGCACCCATCTCCAGTATCTAGCTTGCACGTCCTCCAGCATTGCCTGCTCTCTCCATCCCCATACCTCTGCTCACATTGCATCACACTGCTAACCAGGCCTTCAAACATAATCTTCCTCGCTGCCACATTTCTTCCAAAAACTCTCTTCCCCCAACCCCATACTTGTCCCATCACCTTATTCGCCTTTTTTGCCATAGCTATCACATGCGACCCCTCCCTGTTGTTCTCCCTGAACACATACCCCAAGTGAGTATACTCCCTAACCTCCTCGATTTCTTTTCCCTCCCATCTCCAGTTTTCTGTTGTTTTTCTCCCACCCTTACAAAACTTCATCATCCTTGTCTTCCCCACATTCACTTCCAGCCCCTTCCCCCTAAAATATCTTTCCAATGTCTTTATCATATCTTTCATCTCCGCCGCTTCTCACGCCATGATCACGATGTCATCCGCGTATGCTAACATATGCACCTTTCTACCTCCCACCACCAATCCTCCCATTTGCCCCTTCCCCAATCTATCCTCCAGGTCCGCCGTATACAGTGCAAACAGACTTAGGCTCAGCGGACATCCCTGCCTCAGTCCCTTCGTCGTCCAGAACACGTCGCTCCGCTTATCTCCCACTTTTATCCTAGCCATAGTGTCCATGTATATTTCCTTCACTCTCGCAATTAGGTGTTCCGTGATCCCCCTCCTCCCCATCCCTTCCGAAAGCCTGCCTGCCCATCCTGCAAAATTCCCCCCAACTCCATCTCCTCCTCCAGTCTTCCCAGCCGAGTTGAGCAGTATGCCGAGTTTAATAGGTTAATAATTCCTCTGTAGCTCTCTACCCTTCCCTTATTACCCTTTTTATATACTGGGCAAATTACCCCCACTTTCCATCCCTCCGGAAACCCACCCCCTCTATNGAGGATAGAAGAGGAAGAGAACTAGAAGATTTGTTAAACAAATATAATTTGTGTGTTTTGAATAATAATGTAGAACCAACTTTTTATAATCAAAGAGGTAGTTCTAGTTTTATCGATTTCACAGTGATAAGTGATAATTTTATTGGTGAAGTTAATAATTGGATTTTGGAAGATGAGGAATCACTTTCTGACCATAAATATATTTTTTTTAATATTACTTGTTCAAATAATGAAAAGATAGAGAATATTACTAGGAGATATAATACTAGTAAAGGTAATTGGGTTAAATTTGAAGAAGTATTGACATTGGAATTTGATGGATTTAAGGAAAGATTAAGAAACATTAATTTTGAAAAGGAAGAATTTAATGATTTGGTTACCTGTTTTAACGATACATTAATAAGATGTTGTGATAAGTGTTTTAGTAAGAAGAAGTGTTTTAAAAAGTGGGTACCATGGTGGACAACAGAACTTAGTGATTTAAGAAAAGAAACTAATTATTTAAGAAGAAGATTTCAACGATGTAGTTTGATTGAAGAAAGAGAAACGAGAAAATTAGAATATAACAGGAAATTTAATTTCTATAAAAGGAAATTAGAAGAAACAAGAATTGAAAAATGGAGAGAATTTTGTTCCAAATGGGGGAACAAAGATCCATGGGGTTTAGCATATCAAGTAGTGAGAGGTAAAAGATCTACTACTAAGAATATATCAGCAGTTAGGAAACATAATGGTGCTTTTACGTCTAATTTGGAGGAGACATCTATGGAATTTTTGATTAACTTTTTTCCAAGGGATAATGAGGTTGATGAGAACGACTATCATCAGATCATTAAAAATAGGTATAAACTATATTCAAATGATTATGATGATTTGGATTTTCATCCTAAGGAAATTAGAAGATCAATAACTTCTATGGATAAAAAAAAGGCACCGGGTTTGGATGGCATCTCTGCTGATATCTTGGATTTTGTTTATAATCATGATCCTGATTTGATTAATCTATTATTTAATAATTGTTTAAAATTAGGTGTTTTTCCTAAATGCTGGAAAAAGCAACTAGTTAAAATTATACCAAAGCCAGGTAAAAAAGATATTGGTGACGTTAAAACATATAGACCAATTAGTCTTTTATCAGTTATTGGCAAAGCTCTGGATAGTTTAATTATTAATCGTATTGAACATCATTTTAGGATTAATAATTATTTGTGTGATAGGCAATTTGGTTTTGTAAAAGGTAAAAGTACTATTGATGCTTTAAATTATGTAGTAAATTTTATTGAAAGTTCAAAATATGAAAATTGTTATTGTCTAGTTATTCTTTTGGATATCTCTGGGGCTTTTGATCATGCGTGGTGGCCTCTTATTTTAGATCAGTTGGCTAAGAAAAATTGCCCAAAAAATTTATTTAATATTGCTAAGTCTTATTTTTCAGATAGGGTGGCAATTATAGATGAGCCTGGAATTAACATTAATTATAAAATTGATAGAGGTTGTCCACAGGGGTCATGATCTGGCCCAGGATATTGGAATATTATGTATGATTCAATTTTTGATATTAAATTTCCGTTAGGTTGTGAAGTTGTGTCTTTTGCCGATGATACAACTCTTTTGGTAAAAAGCAAACAATATAAAAATATTTCAAAATTAGCGAATATAGCGTTAGAAAATTTAAAAATTTGGAGTATTAATTGTAAATTAAAATTTAATGCTTCCAAATCGGAAGCTATTTTCTTTGGTAAACCAAATCAAAGATATCCAAATATTTTATTAGATGGTAATAGAATTATTTGTAAAAATGTAGTTAGATATTTAGGAGTTTATTTAGATACTAAATTAAATTTTAAATACCATTTAGATTTTGTAACAAAAAAAGGTAGAGAAATTTCTAATAAGATTGGTGCAGCAGCTAAAATTTCTTGGGGGTTAAATGGCAAAGCAGCTTCAGTTATTTATAAAGGTGCTGTTGAGCCATGTATGTTTTATGCTGCGTCAATTTGGGAAAATAAAATTAAAGATGTAAAAAGTAGGAACAAATTAATTAGTGTTCAGAGAGTGTTAGGCTTGAAAGCAGCTATGGCCTTTAGCACAGTTTCGAACGATGCTTTTGGTGTATTATCAGGGCTTTTACCAGCAGATTTGAGATTCAAAGAAATTGCAATTTGGCAAAATTTATATAATTTAAATGATCAGGATCTACGGTTATTTACTGGAGTAGATATTAACCATGATAAAATAGAGAAGGAAGCTAAATTCTTAACGGATATTCATCCTGCGAAGCGGATATTATGGATTTTAAGTCAAGGAAAATAGTTTTGAATAAAGGAATTCAATTATTTACGGATGGTGCTAAGTGTAAGGATTGTGTTGGTGCTGCGTTTGTTGTTTTTAGTAATGGTGTTGAAGTTTATTTTGAAAAAATTAAATTAGGTGCGTTATGTGATAATTATCATGCAGAATTGTTGGCAGTGAAAAGTGCAATTAAATATATTATTAAAGAAAAGATTTTAATTGCTTTAAAATCAACGCTTATGGGAGGGAAAGGGGTGGTAGAGAAAGTCGTTGGTAAATTGTATTTATCAATAAATCATTTAGATTGAATTTTAATTGAATGAAGTTTATTAATGGTAGATGTATAGGTGTAGTACCTTTTGGTGGAGCACCTTAAGATTCAAATTTTTATTAATTTATCTTTAAACGATATATAGTGTACTCACCAATAGCGATTCACGGAAAGAGAAATAAATTCTTTCCGTGAATCGCTATTGGACGACTTTAAACAGTTCCCGTACGGATTATAAACATTTCGAAAAAAATTTATTAGAAAAATCGCTTCAGAATACATAATGTATTCTTCAATCGTATAATGCTCTGATCCGGAAGATATGGGACAACCTCTATAAATGCAGTAACCATAGTTGCGAAACTACTATGTACTTGCACTGTCCCACATAAAATGCAACATAGGTTAATAGTACAGACATTGGGTAGTTTTGCTTGGAAAAAGGTGACGTCCTTATGACAACCCTGAGCTTTTGCCTCAACATAGTGATATTTTATGCTAACTAGCGCTAGATACCACCTACCAGCCGTCTTAAGAGAGGTACGGCTAAACGGAACGTTTCTATTTGTAGGTCTACTGTTAGTTCTAGTGCTAGTGTTAGTCTAGTTTTATTTGTTATTCAGCGCTAGATTGTTGTATATTTTTATTGAGCTATATCGAACACTGCGTTTCTCGTATTGATCCGTTATATCGAGGTTTTACTGTAATGTCAAATTATATTGACATGTTGCATTTTATGTGGGACACAGTAAGTAAGTAACCCCCTGGTTTCTATGGAAATATATTTTTGTATATTACATCTCTGAAATTTCGAACATCTCAAAAAAATATGACCAAAGGTTATACAAGCCTTAGAAATGGACGCTTTTCGAGGAAGCTACACACTCTACGCTCTAGCACATTACAACCAGCGTTATTGAAGAAAGAATGAAGGCAAACGGAGATAGCGATATACTAGAATAGAAAAGTAAGGTTGATATGGTAAGATAGGCCTTTGAACAAAATGGATGGGAATAGTGGTACTAAAAAGATTGGCGGTGGATCTGCAAGGAAAGCATAGAAGAGGAAGACCCTGAAGAACATNAATAATTATTTGTGTGATAGGCAATTTGGTTTTGTTAAAGGTAAAAGTACTATTGATGCTTTAAATTATGTAGTAAATTTTATTGAAAGTTCAAAATATGAAAATTGTTACTGTGTAGTAATTCTATTGGATATCTCTGGGGCTTTTGATCATGCGTGGTGGCCTCTTATTTTAGATCAGTTAGCTAGGAAAAAATGCCCAAAAAATTTATTTAATATTGCAAAGTCTTATTTTTCAGATAGGGTGGCAATTATCGATGAGTCTGGTATTAACATAAATTATAAAATTGATAGAGGTTGTTCACAGGGGTCAAGATCTGGCCCAGGATATTGGAATATTATGTATGATTCAATTTTTGATATTAAATTTCCGGTAGGTTGTGAAGTTGTGTCTTTTGCCGATGATACAACTCTTTTGGTAAAAAGTAAACAATATAAAAATATTTCAAAATTAGCGAATATCGCGTTAGAAAATTTAAAAATTTGGAGTATTAATTGTAAATTAAAATTTAATGCTTCCAAATCGGAAGCTATTTTCTTTGGTAAACCAAATCAAAGATATCCAAATATTTTATTAGATGGTAATAGAATTATTTGTAAAAATGTAGTTAGATATTTAGGAGTTTATTTAGATACTAAATTAAATTTTAAATACCATTTAGATTTTGTAACAAAAAAAGGTAGAGAAATTTCTAATAAGATTGGTGCAGCAGCTAAAATTTCTTGGGGGTTAAATGGCAAAGCAGCATCAGTTATTTATAAAGGTGCTGTTGAGCCATGTATGTTTTATGCTGCGTCAATTTGGGAAAATAAAATTAAAGATATAAAAAGTAGGAATAAATTAATTAGTGTTCAGAGAGTTTTAGGATTGAAAGCTGCTA